AAGGTGTATTTATTTATCTCACCAACACAGGGAAGGTGCATTTATTTATCTCACCAGAAAGGGAAAGGTGCATTTATTCAGCTCACCAGCACGGGGAAGGTGCATTTATTTATCTCACCAGCATGGGAAAGGTGTATTTATTTATCTCACCAACACAGGGAAGGTGCATTTATTTATCTCACCAGAAAGGGGAAGGTGCATTTATTTATCTCAGCAGAAAGGGGAAGGTGCATTTATCTCAGCAGAAAGGGGAAGGTGCATTTATTCAGCTCACCAGCATGGGGAAGGTGCATTTATTTATCTCACCAGAAAGGGGAAGGTGCATTTAGCTCAGCAGAAAGGGGAAGGTGCATTTATTCAGCTCACCAGCATGGGGAAGGTGTATTTCTGGTCCTTCTCTTGCAGGAACACCAGCACGTCCGTCATCAGCAGCACCAGCACGTCTGGGATGAGCCGGGGTGAGTGGGGGGATGGGATCAGTGGGATCAGTGGGATGGGGTCACGCAGAAAGGGGAAGGTGCATTTATTCAGCTCACCAGCATGGGGAAGGTGTATTTCTGGTCCTTCTCTTGCAGGAACACCAGCACGTCCGTCATCAGCAGCACCAGCACGTCTGGGATGAGCCGGGGTGAGTGGGGGGTTCACCCTGCTGAGCCCCCCCCGAGTCCCAGGCTGACCCCAAATTCAGAGAGGCTCTGCCACGGCCATCCCCCATCACTTGGGAGCTTCACCATCATCCCCAATCCCATTTTTCCCCCCACATCTCCCACCTTTGAAGCGCCCGGCCGCCGTTTTCCAGAGCATCCCGCCGCTGTGCACCAGCTTCCTGCGGAGCAGCTCGTCCCTGCCGAAGGCTCCGGGCCGGCTGTCCCAGAGCAGCGGCACCTTGGCGCGGGGATCCACGCGCCGGAAAACATCCCAGAGGCGCCCGCGGAGCTCCCAGGCGTGAACCTCCTCGTCCACGGCCGACAGCAGCTCCTTCACCAGGCGCAGCGCCCGCGACAGGTCCGCGCTGTCCCCCTCGTTGTCTGGGAGAAGGGGAGGGAAGCTGGAATTCCTGCCCCCCACCAAGGGTGGTCGCTGTTCCTTGCCGAGGCCTCCCCCGGTACCTTTGGAGTTCTTGAGGATGCGCTCGATGAGCACCGGGTACTTGGTGATGCGCTGCGTCACCAGCAGGATGCACTCGGGGACGCCGTGGCGGCGCAGGAGAGGGGAGCGGGTCACCCGCTGGGGGCAGAGACCCCCGTCAGCGGGGACCACCCCTCCATCGGTGACACCCCCCTCCCCGAAAAGCAGAGACCACCCCCCCGGGGCTCGGTGAGGGAGGGACGCAAGTCGGGGAAACTGAGGCACGGAGGTGGGAGAAGGGTTTTCACGGACCCCAACCCTCAGCCCGGGGGTCTCCCAGAGGATGGAGACCCCAACCCTCACCCCAGGGGTCCCCCAGAGGAAGGAGACCCCAATCCCCATCCTGGGAGTGCCCAGAGGATGGAGACCCCGATCCCCATCCCGGGGGTCTCCCAGAGTATGGAGAGCCTGATCCTCAGCTCAGGGGTCCCCCAAAGGACAGAGACCCCAATCCCCATCCTGGGGGTCCCCCAGAGGACGGAGACCCCAATCCCCATCTGGGTTCCCCCAAAGGATGGAGACCCCAACCCTCATCCCGGGGGTCTCCCAGAGGATGGAGACCCCAACCCTCATCCCAGTGGTCTAGCAGAGGATGGAGACCCCAATCCCCATCCCGGGGTTCCCTCAAAGCACAGAGACCCCCATTCCCAGCCCGGGGGTCCCCGCAGCCCACCCGGATGAACTGCTGGAAGCGTTTGTCCCGGGCCAGCAGGTCCTTGTACTCCTTGAGCGCCTTGGTGTGCTTGCTGCAGAACTCGGCGTAGGCTTTGCGCAGCTGCTCCGCGCTCGGGCCCGAGAACTTGGCACAGCAACGAGGGGACAGCGGGGACAGCCAGGGGACAGCAGGGACAGGGAGGGGACAGCAGGGACAGCGAGGGGAC